TGGAACTCCCAACTCAAGTCAAGTTGCAAGCTTCAAATTTGGAAATGGTGGATAGTGATGGAGGAGTTACAGTCAAGAAACAGGGGTCTGGATCACTTTGATATGATGTATATTAAGTGTTTGGATGGTTAAAACTCAATACGCACGAGCGGATTTGGAGATGGCTATGTGAGGTTCAAAACTATCAAGTTATGGCAGATTCTGAGTTGCAGAGTGCTTTGGAGTGTTTTGGGGTCTTAGCCTTTATTTCTTATGTTGCAATAGACTTGTGTATATATATATATATGGAAAATGTTATAGATCAAATTCACTCAAGGTTTCTGAGTTCCAAGAGGCTTTAGACACATTTCTTTTGGTTTATAGAGGTTGTGTGTGTAGAAAGAACAAGTGCAAATCTCAAGGAGTTGACAATTGCAAAAGTGATGCTTTATCAAAATGGAAATGGCAACTTTGTGCCATAAATGGAAATGTAACTTGGATAAAGGATTAAGTGCTTAGATTAAAGCTCTATCAGCTGTGTAAATATTTAATTATGGAGTGACAAACAAGTTTGAGGCCTGCAAAGCAAAGATTATGCAACCTAGGCTTGGATTTGAATTTTTGTTCATCATAAAATGACTTGTAATTTAAGTTTGAAAACCCTAACTTCATCACTTTGATTCTCCTTGATCACAAATGATCTCAAGGAGTTCTTTGACATTTTGGAAAGCTTGTAATGTGATATACAACCCCTCTTTGAATCACTTTTGAAAATTCCTTTTGGAACTATATGAAAAATTGCCATGAATTTAGGTCAAAATTCTGACCAAAACTAGGGCAAAATTTCAGTAAGTGTTCAATTTCAAGACCATGACTTTATGAATTAATAACTTGAGATCTAAGCACTTTTAGAAGAAGTTGTGTAAATAAATTATGTATATATCATGGATATCTACAACTTTCATGTTGAAAGTTTCTTCTGAATCATCTTGCATCATGGTGAAAATGGCTCAAAAAAAACATGAAATTTTAAACACTTAAAAAATTTCTAAGAAAACTTTGACTTTTCAAAATGAAATATTGAATTTTTGATTTCTTAATGAGTAAGCTTCATATTTTGACATTTTTTGATGAATTGTGATTTTTGACATTGGATTTTGACCAAAAAGTCAAAGTTTGACTTTTCAGTGTACAGCTGACTTTTGATCAGTTGACTGAAAATTCACTATCAATCCAATTGATCTTGAGAAATGTTTTAGGTCATGCAATTAGGTCAAAATGATGCAATTGAACTCTTGAAATCATGATTCAAACCAATTTACCATTTTCTAGGTCAAAAATCAGAAATAGCCCTTTCTCAGTCAAAACCCTAATTTTGACAATTTTGCCCTTTTGATGATTTGATCAAATTTCTTGAGGAATTATGGTCCAAACTTGATCAAATGATGCATATGAGTTTATAATGTTGATGTGGATCGAAAATTATGAAGTTTGACTGTAAATTTGCCACAGTTGTCTTTTTCTCCAATACAACTAATTTTTAGGTCAACTGCTCAATTGACTGAGCAAAAGTGTGATCCAAGGCTTGAAACTTGACATGAGTAATCTTGGGGGTCCATAATGATCCATGAAAGTCATATGAGGCATTGAAAGTTCAGTTATCTTTGTGCAATCTCAAACCCTAATTTTGGTCATCAGTGCTTAAGGAGGTGTCTCGAGTTGATCAATCCTAGTGCAGTCTTGAACCAAGAGAGATCTTTGTGAGAAAATAATTGATAAGTGAGAGGGAAAATTTTGGGGTACAACATCAATCATAGTAAGGAAATAATGAAATTAATCTAAATAAGGGATGGATATAGGACCCCATATGTCCATATGAATAAGATCAAAAAAATTTGAAGAAATAGAATTACTTAAAGGAAAAGAAAGTTTACATTGCTTTGATAAATGAAAAGTATTACAATGCTTGTGTTTATTATATGTCATATCATGAAATTGTTGGTACATGTGATGTAAAATTTCATTAGAAGGGTCACCTAATCTACAATGCCATAAGACATTGTTAGTGCTATCATGGGTAGTAAGGCTAGCAAAAACATAATGATCAGCAGGGGATGTTTGATGGGAGTCATGTGCAGAATGTACAGATTATGGTGTTGGATTACAGGTCCAATATAATCCTTGGTATACACATCCTGAATTTGACAGGAGTTGCGTAAGAAATGGATGTCATGTTGTGAAGTATTACAGAGTTTGGAAATTGAAATTAAACTAAACCTAAATTTTGGGATGTAAGAAACATGTAGAAGATTGAAATCTCCACCAAAACAGATATTGCCAGAAAATTTAACATATAAAAAACTTCCATTAGGTAAATGAATAGAAATAGGTCCTATGTAGATAATGTCAGTAAAGCAATGTATGTAAGGGCAGACATGATGAGATGCCCCAAACTCTAGTATCCACATATTAGGGTTATGAAAAATACTACATGTGGGTGCAATACCTAAATCAAAGTCGTATCAAAAGAATTGGCCTTGTCATCTCTGGATTGTTGGTTATCTTTCCAAGATTGTTGCAGGAGATGCACTAAGTGTTTATAATCTTCTTTAGAAATACCAGTTTATTTTTTATTATTTTGCGGATTTTTAATGTCAGAGGCGTTCTTGTCGTTGTTGTTTATGTACCTGGGTGGAAAACCATGCTTGAAATAGCAGTTTTCAATGGTATGATTGGTTTTATGGAAATTGGTGCATAACATGGGGGTTTTGTTGTACCTTTTCCTTTTTCTCGAGCATTTGTGTTGTTAGAAGAAAGAATGATGGGATAAGGCATAACAGAAGTAGGAACAAATTGTTGTTGAAAAATGAGCGAGTAAACACGACTAATGCTAGGAAGAGGATCAAGAAGGAGAATTTGCATGTGAATGTTGTGATATTTGTCATTGAGGCCCTTCAAGAAACAAGTCACATATTCCATGTGCTTGTAGTTCTGCACAGCCTTAGCCAGATCACAGGTGCATGGTGTAATGCAAGAACAAGCAGGAGTAGGTCTTAAGTCTTTCAATTCGTCCCAAAGGATTTTGAGGGAAGTGAAATGCGCATATAGAGAATGATCACCTTGTTGTATCGAATGAATTTCACGAAGAAGATCACAAAAATGGAAATGGTTACCTTTTATGACTATTTCACGAAGGTCCTCTCATAGCTCGAAAGCAGAGTCGAAGAAACTCGTGCTTTGTGTGATGTGAGGAGAAAGAGTTTGATTAATCCACGAAAGAACCATGTTATTTGCGTGTTCCCAGAGTTTATAGTTTGGATCATAAATTAGAGGTTTTCAGATATTTCCATTGATGAAGGAAATATTGTTCATGGAAGTTAGGGCACGACACATTAATCTACTTCAATTGTTGTAGTTGTTGTCATCAAGAGGTAGTGCAATGATGACAACTCTAAGGTTTTCGCCAGGGTGAATGTAGAACAAATTTCTAGGGTTAAGGGTAGGGTCGAAGATGTTGGTTTCTGCAGCGTTGTGTTTAGGACTATTTTTGGGGTAAGAGTGTGGTTCGGATTTGACATCATACACCATTATAGATGAGATAGATCAAGAACCAGAAAGATGAATGTGAAAGATGAGGAATAAAAAGGGAAGATGAATGAGATGTGGAAGCTTGAAGGAAAGAAGTATAGTCTACTGATACCATATTACAAGTGGGTATTCCATCTTGGAGAAAGATAAAGTGAATGAATTGTTTAAAAAGGGGAATTCCCGCTAATTCTCATTACCAGAAAAGGAAGAAGAAGGATACAATATATAAGAACAATAGTAGGCTTAAGATAACATAAACCTATTTCCCAAAAGGGAAAAATAGAAAAGAAGACCAATATATCTATCTGGCTAATAGAATATCCCAAATGGGGAATGGAAGCACCACCGTAGTTTAGCTTTATCCAATTAGAAGGAGGTGGCTGCCAAAATACCTCCAAAATGTTCAGAGCTCGGGGAGGCTGAATGATCACCTTAAACCTCTTAAGAATCTCAAAATCATGCATAGAAAAGTGATGCCCCACAGGATTGGCATTACCCATTATGGAAACCGTAGTCGAGATAAAAGATCTAATAGAAGAAAATAAGTAACGGTGTCTTTAAATCTCACCAAATTTCGGGCCTTCCAAATTGCATTGATAGAAAATATGCAGGCGACAGTGCAAATCAACCTGTAGTGCTCCTTACCGTAAGACCCGAAAAATTCTCCACAACTTTGTCCAACCAAGAAGGGAAGTTGATACTAAGCATTTGCTTAACCCAACCATAAATCTTAGAAGCAAACAAGCAACCAAAAAAAATGATTCTTTGTTTCCTCTTCCAAATTGCAGAGGTCGCACCTAGAGGGAAAAGCGAAACTGCATCTTTTAATCTGATCATCTGTCAGTAATTTATTATGAAGGAGCCTCCAAACCGTAAAATATTTAGCCGGAGGGATAAACTTGTTCCAAATCCATTTCCATCAATCCTTAGAAGAGCTATGGTGCCGCTTGAATTCATAAGTTGCCTTGAGAGAAAAGTCGCCATTCAAAGATTACATCTAAAACTGATGATCCAACCTAGAAACTATAGGGAGGTGATAGTTTAAAATCCACTTTTGACTAGACTGCGGAATAAAGGAGTGTGCCTTCGAAAAATTTCACTGACTATTAACAATAAGGTCTTTAACAATTTGATCTAAATAATCCGTGAGACAGCGCCGTCAGCATACAAAGGAGAACTACACCAATTATGAACAAATATATTTGATATTATAAATATAATACAATTGTCACACCGGTTTGAAAACTTTATATCTTTAAATACTTTATTTTTCTTTGATAATAAAATATTTCAAAAAATAAAAAATAAAAACAACAACAATATGAATAGATATATTTGATATTATAAATACAATACAATTGCTACACCGGGTTTGAAAACTTTATATCCTTAAATACTTTTATTTTTGATAATAAAATATAATCCTAACTCATTTAAGAACATGCAATTACAGAAAAAACTGGTGTAAATTTAAACTCAGATTGAGAAGTATAGGTAAAGGTGACAGATTTGTATTGATAAAGTGGTGCTCCTTGGATAAGAAGACCATCTTGGCTAAGAATTGCTGGATCAACAAGTGTGCTTGATTTAAATCCATTGGTATTCAACTTCACATCAGTTTGAGTGCAAATACAATTGTTGGTCACAGTAACTTTCCACACTGATCCTGATGTCTTGGTTTGTGTAACACCAATAGAACTTAAATCACAATAACCATTAGCTGCAATATCAACAATAAATTAAACATATATTTATATATATGAATCACGTACGTCAATAATGACACGTACCTATATAGGTAATAATTTAAAAAGATAAAAAAAATTAAATATATTAATTTTGAATGTCAATATTGACACTCATTCATTTTTTTTTTCCAGAGACATCGATGTTACTTAATTATTGAAAAAAAACTATAAAGTTTAATATAAGCTGGTTTATACAGAAAGAGTAATCTATGGGTGTAGAAAGGGTCTGTGAGATTACTATGTATGCTATACCTTGGAAAACTAAGGCAAGGAAGAGAGTGATGGAGAGAATGCTAAAAATTGAAGTCATTTTAGATTTGAGAGTTTGAATATGTAAAATAGTGATTTTGTGAGAGGTGAATGTTGATGCTCACAATATTTATAGGTCGAATAAATGATACTATTTTATTCAATCCAATATTGTATTTAAACAAAAGTATATTTCTTCGGTCAAAAAGTATTTGTAGTATTTGATTTTATATTATAAATTAGGGGAAAATTATATATAAGTAATAATTGTTTTTTAATTCATTGGTCAAAATGAAATTCCTAGTCAAAAGTATTGTAGTGATATTAATTATTATGATATTTTCAATTACAAATAAGTTTATAAATATTACAATAACAATACAAAAATGAAAAATCATATAAACTTTCTAAAATGAAAAAAGCTTTCAACTCAAAATTTTAATTCTAAATTATTTTGAAATCTTCAATCAATTTATGAAGTAAATTAGAATTTTTAAAATAAATAGCAATTTAATATACACTCTAATATTTATCAAAAATATTGTTCACTTTATAATTGAACCAAGCATTCAAACTGAATTTACAAATTTAAATACTTTTTCAAAATAATATGATATATTTAATTAACTTATGATTAATTGATTTTAATTTTTTGGTGTTAAAAGAAGAAACGATATTTGACCCAACTCAATACTAAAATAAAAGTATTTTAATAAAGGGAATTAGTTAGACCAAATTTATATAAATTTTTTGTATATGCTTTTTTTTTTATCTCTTATTTTTCATTGCTTTATTTTTTGTAAGTCTTATTTCTTTTCCTCCATCTCTTTATTATTTTTTTCTATTATGTCGCTTAATGTTTAATTAAATTGTAAAATTAAGTCAAACATTTTTATAAATTAATGTTTATATAACTTGACAACATTTTTTTTATCTATAAAATTTATCCCGCCATCTTGTATTGAGAATCACTTAATCAACAAATTTTTGATATATTTACAAGCACGTATATGCACAATATGTATATAAGTATTATTGTTGATATATTTAAATTGGAGGTATTCATTATGTATTTACATATGAAAAATGTTTACGATTTATTTATGATATTTATCACAACAAAAACATTTTCTTGTCTATATTATTATACTATATTAGTAATTAATATACATGTATATCTTGATGAGTTCGTTAGTTAGGATTTAGTTATTAAGATGTGTGTCGTTGCGGAACTAGAAAAGAGATGTTTGCGGAGATCATGGTGGAGCGAGGTTTCTTGAGTACTTCGACGATGTGGAATGGTGTATCGAAAATTGCGATCACGGTGCTTCTCAAACCAGAGGAGTTGATCTTGAATCGGTGTCGTTACTCTCTGATACGACATATCAATGAGGAAACATGTATGATTAGCACTCCAACGACCAAGTTAGTTTAGAGATTAAGATAAAGGTAATTATAGTGATGATTAGAGATTGTGTATGAGAAAAACTTTGTGAATGTATTTAATCCTTAGGTCTGACGGAGCAAGTTGGATAAATGGGTCTCGTGTTATTGGAACATTGATCGGTGTGGAGTAATGGGTCCTTCGCCTTTGATCATGGAACATGATGATACTAACTCAATGGTGGGCTTTTATTGTGTCTAACTCAGTGTTGAGATGTCACGTTAACTCACCATCCTCAAGACATAAGTATTTCTATAAATATGTATTAATGTAACTATCTTCACTTATTCTTTTACATTTAATACAATTCCTTTATCTCAACTATGCACTCTTCCTCTTTCTCTAATATGGTATCACAATGTTGTGAACCACCTTAGCCATGTCTTCTACTGAAACTTCTCAGTCCTCTCCATCACAAGGTAGAAATCCTTCGGAAATAGTTGATGCATCTTCCTTGAAGAATGCATTCAAAACTTTCGCTCAACAAATCAGCATCAAACTTGATAACACAAACTTTCTTTCTTGGAAACACTAATTTGAAGGTATCATCGAAATTCACATGTTTCATCGCCAACTAGTAAATCCTACAATTCATCCTCGCTTTCTCACCACTGGCGATCGTGCATCTGATATAGAAAATCCCACCTAATTGCTATGACATCAACAAGATTCACTTCTCTTTACTTGATTTCTGAATATGCTCTCAAAGTTTATCTTTCCTCTATGGTGAAGTGCGTTCATGCACATGAAGTATGGTCCATCATAAATCAGTTTCAATGAACTCAGATATATCCAAAGTTGCGACAACTTCTCTATGAACTTCATTGTATTAAGAAAGGTGATTGCATTGTCGCACAATATTGTTTCAGTGGCATAGCGGAAAGCAAAAAGTAAAGTATTATTTTACCAGGTGATATAGATTATATCGTATCGTGTCCATATAAATTGGTTATCAAGTCGTCATTCGACAAATCATTCGTTAATGAGTTTGGGGGTTTGAATGGAAAGGGTAAAAGTTATCAACAAAAAATAAATGTAAACAAAAATAAAAGAAAAAGGAATAACTTATCAAGAGTGCATATATACTACTTCTCATAGACATAAATCTATCGACCATTTATACTCGACCTACAATAATCATCAATGTCACCATGTATCACTCACAACCTAAGTCATTTCTAACCCAAATTGAGAGGCTTACTATATCACCTCGGTAGAAATCTCTCAACCACCTCAAAAACACAGAAGTTAACCATGTTAATCGCGTCGACAATCTCTCAGAGGGACACAACCAATACATATGCATTAATCACAAACACCCAAGTGAATGTCAGTTCTAAATATATCTCTAGGATCCAGAAACTAACAGATTATCATCCTATATGAGAATCTGAGCAGTATATATCTATAACAACCCAAATCCCGAGCACAAATCAAAATCCAGGACAACAGTCGACAAAGATTTGTAAAGCAAATTAAATATAACTCCATGGGCGACAAATATACATAAGATCAAAGTAATTACAAATACAAATCTAACTAAAAGAGAATACACAAATAAGAAGAGAAATGAACCACAAATCTCTCGGTTTGTTAGTGTCGATCGAAGAGCAATCCACCCTAGATCATCCATATGCAAGCTCCATAGGTTTTATCTAAGCTAATCCACTATAAAAATGAGGTTGATGTAGTTGGGAGATAAAAAACAACACCGAAAACCATAACTATCTAAAATGAAATAAAAATGAAATATAAAGAAAATCTGTCCCGCATGCATCGCCTGACGACATAAAAGCACCTCCCGGCGATGACTCCTAAATACAAGGCACATGTTATGCCACACATGCAACTGGTCTCAAATATATTTCATCGCCCGACAAATGAAAAGCTTCGCCCGACAACACCCTTATTTCTCGCCCGGCGACACAGCAACGAAGCAAGGCAGACCCAACTGGAAAATTGACTCCAACCCATTGCTCCACTATCGCCCAGCGATGCAGACGCGATTCACCATCACCCGACCATCGCCCAATGATGCACACCAGTCCAGCAACTTTTGTTGCTTTCTCTGCATCACTTTAAATAGCTCTCTTTTCTTGGCCTTATTTCTTTATTGATCCAAAAATGCATCTTGGAGCTTTTATTCCTCTTGCCCCAACAATGCTCAAATACCTACAAAAAGACTGGAAAAACATCAAACAATACACTATGTACACAAAAACACTAATGTACACGAACTAAGCTTATTTACATAATAGTTGAGTTTAATCAATCGATATTAACAACAAGGCCTCGTTGTGCTTCCTCCATCTAGGTGTTAAGTCATCATCAGAAAAGCCTAAACCATTGTCTGTGGTCAAGCTGGCCATACAGTCTTGGAACTGATCAGCAAAGGTTTCTTGTGGTACATGTGCAGTTTTAAGGAACTTCACCAAGGCCTTTGCATGAGCCTCGGAACACAACAATAAAGCCAGCATGGAAATCTTTGATGGGGTTTTCCCTAGCTGCTCGACTACACTGTAGTCTCTCTTATTTATAATCTTCAGAATTTCTTCCATCTCCTTTTTGGAGGCCTCAGGGATAGATATTGTTTGTGCCTTCATCTGGATAGGCTCAACCAGAATGCCTTTGCCCCGAGTCTCGGTCGACTCGGCGATAGGAGTGTCAGCAGGTGTAACTATATGAATTGTAGTAGTAGTAGTAGTGTCAGCAGGGGTAACCAAAGGGGTTGTTATAGTAGTAGTGTTAGCAGGAACAGAAACAGGGATGATCACAGGACTGGTGACAGTCTTCGGATGAGAAATCTCCGGAGAGAAAATTCTTCCGCTTCGCGTCATCTTGCTGGTTCCCACAATATTACTGATGTCTGGGTTATCTTCCTTGGAAATTGAGTCTTTAACAACCGGCCAATCTTGCTTGACACCGTGATAGTAGATGTCGCCCCCATAGTTCCATATGACAGTTTTATTTGACGAGTATGGGACTGGGCCTGGCATAGTGATTATCAATGGAGCTACTTTAGGAACTGATGTAATTCTAACGGGTCTTTTGGTGGAGACCCTGGAAGGATTGGAGGAAATGGTTACTATTGAAATATCTTTGTAAGAAACAGTTGGAACATGAGTTTTTTCAAACAAAATCTCTTTGTCATCCATTAGGCGTTGAACACCTACTTTCAATAAATGACAACCAGTTGGTAGGGAGTAACAGAGGTGGCAGCTTTCATCACAACCCGGAAATAAACTAGCTTTTAAAAGGTTCTTCTTGACGGTGAGGAGAGGAGTAACAAGTTCATCAACAGTAGAAACAAACATATTATCTTCGACAATGCTAACACCATGGCCATGCTTGAGCATAAGAGAGGTAATAACATTCGGGATCTCGGGAGCATCAAACTCAATTTCTTTGGCTTCAAGGAGGTCTTGTACTTTGGTTTTCAAATCCCAACAGTTGTTAGTATCATGGCCAGGGCTTTCTGAATGGTATGCACAGCGAGCATTAGGATGGTAGTGAGGAGATATGGTGTTAGGATTCTTCGGAGCTTCTTTCAAAGTTACCAGATTGGATCTCAACAAATGTGGTAGTACTTGAGATAGTGTCATATTAATTCGGGTAAA